CGCCGCCGCCGCCCAGCTCCCCGTCGCCCCCCAAGGCCACGATCGCCCCTCGCCCGCCGCTGCTCGTGCCCCGCAGAGACGCCATCGACCCGGCCGCCGCCGCCTGCCGCACTAGCCGCCCGCTCCCGCGCTCCGACTGGCTACCTCGGGGCTCGCGCTCCCATTGGCTCCCTCGGCGCTCCGCGGCTCCTCCGGCGCAGGGCATTGGCTGGCCCGCTCCCTCGCGCCCGCCCCGCTCGAGCCACTGGCGGAGCCGGCCCGTCGCTCACGGGGACGGGGGACGACGGTTGGCTGAACGAGGCCCAGCTTCACCATGGCGGAGGGGAGCGTCACGGGCTAGGCGGGAGGTCCGGTCTGATTGGGCGGCTCGGAGGGTTGACGGCCGCCCCCGTCCCCCCGCGCGGAGCTAAATAGGCCGTCTGTAATTCAATCACTTGTGTCCTGGGAGGGGATTGGCCGCCGGGATGAAAGGCCTGAAGGGAAGGTTGCCATTGGGTAGCCTGATTTTTTTTCCCTTTCCTCCCCCCCCAACCGTCAGTCAATCAGCGCGCGGGAGATGATTGGCTGGAAACTGAGTTTTTTTCAAATGTGGCCAGCCAGGGGCGTTTATTGGACAAAGTAGGGTCAGGGCGTGATGTTCCGCAGGGAAGTGCCAATCATATAGAGATCTGCCATTTTATTGGCTGTCCTAATTAATTGATTTTTGCCCTTTCTTCGGAAGGGTTTCGAGACCCAATTTCTGATTTGTTCTGTAGCTCTCGGAGCGGGGCAGGCCAAAGTAGGGCAACGAACTGAGACGTCGGGTTTCCTGTTGCAGTCCAGGGAATCCTCCATGTGCGGGGCAACAGCCCTGGAAATACATTTTTCATACAGAATCAGAGCCTCTCCCTCGTTACCCTGCATTGGAAACACCATCTCCTGTACTTCCCCAAAGCAGAATCCAAATACGAGAGGGGGGTAGGCTATGCTGCCTTCAAAAGACTGCGACAGGCAGCAATTCAAGTTGCATCTGACTCACCAGAGCATATGCTGCAATATATTTTCTCAGATTACACTATACGCCTATTCGGTTTCACCAACAGCCCAATGCTCTTTTATTCTAATTAACCCAAAAAAAATATTTAAAAATGCCAGGGATTATCCACAAAAGCCAAATAATTGTGGTGCCAGTCTCTAGGGTGATTCAATCAGGGTGATTCAATCAGCCAGTCTCTGGGGTGATTCAACCAGGAATGCTTCCGAAAACGGCACTAGAAAGGGGCCTTTAGTCCCGCTCGCTCCGAGTTCCACATTCATTCTCATGAGGCTTCCGCCACTCATGCGTCTCACCCGGCGGCTTCGAATAAGAACCAGAAGTGAAGTTTCTCTCGAAAGTGTATTTTTTTTCATAGACATATCTCTTTGGCTCAGGCGCCGCTACTTGTTTTTTGATTGGGCCTTTCAAATTCGTGATGGATGGCCGGGTTCCATTTCCAGGAACCAATCCCAAGGGGCGAAGGAGGAGACGGTTTAACTGCCAAGGGCCCCTTGCAACTGGCAAGCCAGGCTCCATTTCTTGGCTGGGAACTGGCCTGAAGCAGCGCCTGGTGCTGCCTGGGACTGGCTGGGGAAGCAGCGCTGGGTCATTTCTAAGAACAGCTCATTGGGCTCTGCGCTTTTCATGGCCTGGCTTTGTGAAGAGCTGTAGTACATAGGCAAGCCATGGTTGCCAGTGCCACTGCTGTCTGCCAGTGTTCCCGCTAAGCTGAGTTAGCGTGAGCCAGCTCACAGTGTTTTAGCCTCCGGCTCACACATTTCTGTCTTATAGCTCAGGAAGGATGTGGCTCCAGAGCAAACGAATTTATGCAGTGGCCAAATCGCTTACAACTTTAATGCCAGTCGCTCACAAAGTAGTATTTTTGCTCACAAGGCTCCACGGCTTAGAGGGAGTATTGCTGTCTGCCTCTTGTATTGAATGCCCACTGGGGTGCCATAAGTCTGGTGTGACTCCAGGGCTCTTTAGATACACTTGTAAGACACAAAGGGTGTCTCTGGTTGTGTTTCCCAACCCAATTTGAGATAGGGTTGCCAAGTCCTACCTTTGTAATAGTAGGGGGAGTCCCGGATGTTCCCAGGAGCCTCCCAGCATGCGCACTTTGTGCGCGCGCGCGCCGCTGTCACGTCACCCGGAAGTGACGCAATCGCATCTTGCACGTTGGGGGTGGGGCCACAATCATCTGAGGGAAAACCATAGAGTTTTCTCTCAGATGATAGAGCATCCCCCCGCAACATGCCCAACGCGATTGTGTCACCTCTGGGTGATATGTTCACGGCATGTCATGCACTTTGGGGGTGGGTCCCCCCCCGACAGCCCAATCCCTGCCGGCGGGGAACAGGCCTCTCGGGCGGGGGACTTGGCAACCCTAACTTGATAAACACACACAGTCCTGTAGAGAGGAATTCGCTAGAATTTTTGTTAATAAAGGAAGACTACAGATCTCAAGGTTTTGGAACCCTGAATACCCAACAGACTCTTCCGAGTGTTACAATGGGTGACAGCCAGGACTTTATACTCAAGACACACACAAATAAACAAGATTATTGGTTCCATTAAACATCAACACTGACTTAACAGGTCTCTGATTGGCAGAAAACCTTTTAGGCTGGGCTTTCCCAAGTAAAGTTTTTTCTTTTAGCTGAACAATAAGTGTTTCTTTCTCTTAGACTGTCAAATTCTCAAAGTATCTATATAGCTGATATGGTTTACAAGGCGCCATTGTTCTTCGTTTAGCCAGAGACATGAGCAGTTATCGCTGGCCTACCAAGGCCATCAGCCTCAGCAAAGATAGCAAGTTAACATTTTGTTCTTTCAGCATTTTACCTTCCCAGCATGCATCCAAACAACAGTCACAAATGAACCAAACTTAATACCTGCATACATTCATGACGTTAGAATCATAAATGGCACTTAACATATGCACCATGGAAGTGCTAAGTGCACCCACCAAGTCAAACCTGTTAGTGGCAGAGTATAAAGTGTTTCATAAACTCTGCGTACAACACAACAGTGAAATTGTGTATGTGCTTGTGAAGGGAGTTTCCATTTAAACCTAATGACCCTTTTCTTAGGGGGGGGCCTCACTTCAAGGCCTTTCTTCTTGCAGTGTAGACAGTTTTCTTTAAGAATGAATTCATTCAAACACCAGCTCATTCAATAACAAAGGGGAGTCATCCTTTATAGGAAAATACAAAAGGACAGGCTACAGTAGCTAAAGAAAAGTTCCCTAGACATAATTCACCCCCTGTTTACAGAATGTTTGGAATTCCTGGGAAGAACATAAAAAGAAAACAATCCAACAATAGAAAAGAGATAAGAGAGAGTTGCCGCACTGTGACCGTGAAAATGGTTGCCTAAAGGTCACGGTGTTCATTGATAGATTTTGGGCAAGGCTGAGAGAGAAGGGGCAGAAACATAAATATAGAAAATGAATTAAGAACATAATTATGCTCAGTAATCAAAACTATCTGAAGATAATGGATCCTTATTCAGCATTCTAATCATGAACGAAATTTCTCTTAACAGTGTGATATCAACACAAAATGGAGGCCTGTGTTTTGTCCAAGTAATTCCATCAGCAAATGCAAATCCCCCGGAGTGCAAAATCTAATTACCATGAAGGCCCTACACCGCCAGCCCTCTTGTCCACCCAGGATATCCCTTTATCTGGATCCAGTCATTTATGTTGTCCTGTTTGGGAAGCCTCCAACCCTTAATTCAATCAGAGCTAGGAAATCCATAGAGTTTCAGATGAGTTCATCCAAAATCCCTCGAATTTACAATAATTTCTTTGAATTTCTTTTAGTGCAAGCTCCTACAACTAGCCAAACTGTGGTGGGCACCTCCTCCCCTTCGTTCTGCCTTCTGATTATTTCCTGGGACCTTTGGAAGCTCTTACTAAAGTCTCCTAGTCTCAAATCTCTGGATCTATGTACTCTACCCAGAGCAGCAAACCGAGGATAAAATCCTCTGTTCATTCCTTTTCCCTTAAAACCATTTCCTTCTATAAATCTCTCTCCCACTCCTTCTTGTTGCTCTGGTGCAGAATTCTCAGTCAGCCAGAGGCCTGCTTCTCTTTTTCTTTCCTCATTTCATTCTTCAAACACATGTCCTTCTGAACACAACAGTTTTGTTGTTCTTACTTCTTATGCATCCTGTGCCCATATACTTCCCTCAATAAATGCTAAGCTTTTTAAAAAATAAAGATCCAGGTTTTTTGTGGTTACTGGTAGAGAGTCAGTTTGGTGTAGTGGTTAAGTGCATGGACTCTAATCTGAGAGAACCAGGTTTGATTCCCCACTCCTCCACTTGCAGCTGCTGGATGACCTTGGGCAAGCCATTGTTCGGTCAGAGCTGTTCTCTCAAGGACAGCTCTGGAAAGAGCTCTCTCGGCCCCACCTACATCTCAGGATGTCTGTTGTGGGGAGGGGGAGGAGTTTGTAAACCGCTCTGAGACTCTGAGTGAAGGGTGGGGAATAAATCCAATCTCTTCGTTAGAGTGTCAGTTTGGTGTAGTGGTTATGGACTGTAATCTGGGAGAACCGGGTTTGATTCCCCACTCCTCCACTTGCAGCTGCTGGATGACCTTGGGCAAGCCATAGTTCTGACAAGAGCTGTCCTTGAAAGGATAGTTGTCTCAAAGCTCTCTCAGCCCCACCTCCCTCACAGGGTGTCTGTCGTGGGGAGGGGAAGGGACAGGAGTTTGTAAACTGCTCTGAGACTCCGAGTGAAGGGCCGGGTATAAATCCAATCTAATGGATTTCTTCTTCTATTAGAGGCATTGTGTGCTTGCTTGCACACTATGTAAAGATTCCCACATAACATTCTGCTCCCCATAACTGGCTAATGTGTCTCTTTTCCAAGATAGCTCCAACTGTGGAAGCGCGAAGAGGTTCCCCCTATGCTGAGCGTAATCCCTCCCAATAGGTCACGGTTCAGGATGAGTGTCCTGAACCCAAGTTAGAGAGTCCACACGTGCTAAGGATACAGGTGGGGGAAAAGCACATGTGTTAACACAACCCAGAAATCAACAGGAATTTCCAAATCTGGAAACTGGTAGGCAGAGCTGTTGAGTTTAAAAATAAATGAGGAGTTAGAACCCACCCTGTTGATAGGTTAAGAAGGGTAACTGTTGGTCTGCAGCAAAAGAGCCAGATTTAAGCCCAGTAGCAACTTTTTGTTGTTGACCAACAAGATTTGGGGGGGGGGGGTATGAGCTTTTGATGAAGGGACAAAGAAAACTCTGACTCTGGAAAACTTCATACCCTGGAAATCTCATTGGTCTCTAAATTGCTACTGGACTTGAATCTAGCCAGTTTGGTGAGCCGGTTTGGTGTCTTGGTTAAGTGCGCGGGCTCTAATCTGGGAGAACCGGGTTTGATTTCCCCCACTCCTCCACTTGCACCTGGCTGGATGATCTTGGGCAAGCCGTAGTTCTGATAAGAGCTGTTCTTGAAAAAGAGCCGTTTCTGTCAGAGTTCTCTCACCCCCAGCGACCTCACAGGGTGCCTGTTGTGGGGAGAGGAAGGGAAAGGAGTTTGTAAGCCTCTCTGAGACACCTTTGGGTAGTGAAGGGAGGGTTATAAATCCAATCTCTTCTTCTTCTTCTAGCTTATCTAACCCATCCTATTGTAACCCCTCAAGCAGCCCTGGGTCAGGAGGAGCCATGCTTTTGTGCCACCCCCTGACTCAGCCTCACCATTGTCCAGGCCATTGTTAGCAGGCATTAATCAGGCCAGCCGCTCAGGTAATTCAATCATCCCACCTCCCCTCTGCCTCATGTACCTGCTGTCAAATTGGATCTGATTTATGGCAAAAAAAAAAACCCCAC